TTGTGTGATGCCTGCAGTCGCAACGTCCCATTCGTTCAGTTCTTTCATGTGTAACGTGTTTACGGCGGATGTTCGAAGGCTCTGCCGAAAGTTATGCACTGCCGGAAGTAATTACGACGGCAATACGTCCCTCATTGCATGTGGCTTTAATGGAACCGCCGCGAGAAGCCGAGTCGACCTGCGTCTGAAAAAGCTGAATCAGGCAACAGTTAGTGACCAGATGATTAGCAACAGAATATATATATGCCGGTGGCGGAGAAGAAGTCGTTCGGTCGCACAGCAGACAAGGTGCGAGCCCGAAGGACCCGCTACAGAAGAGAGGCCATGCACCAAGCGAAGACGGAAGCGCAACGTCGGAAATCACTCGGAGATTGGGAAGAGGTGATCAAGGATATGAACCGGTTGGTCGACAAAGCGTAGCCAGCCATAGAGGGGTCTGATTGAAGTTGCGGCAGATATTATTTTTTAAAACTGTCTCGAGCGGAACTCGACCTCAATCACTGGATGAAGCGGTGACGACGACCTCTCCGGTCGAGTATTACACGCGCAGCTCGGCCAACCAGAACACTCCCTGTGCCCTGACAGAAGCAGTCCTCGGAGCGCTAACAGGCGCGACTCCTAAACGCTTGGAAATACGACTTGCTCCTGGTCAACAACGCCCTCACGTAAACCAATTGCACCAGATGGCGCGCAACTTGCAAGGCTGTGTCAACGTTCTCGTGGAACACCTGTCTAGGGTACAGGAACCATGGGAAGAAACCTATGTTGGAGGTGTCAACGGCGTGGAACCACCAGCTGTCGTGACTCAGTTGAAGAAGAAGCAGCGTAAACGGCAGAGACTCGACTCCTGCTTACCACCATCGGAAAGCAGCGCACAATGAGCAATATTTGAACCAAAGAAGGTCGATCCTCGTAGAGGTGAACCGACCACCCGTAAAATCGCCTACATCCATTGTATATCCATTTTCAATGCGAAGGGTTCGAGAATGAGTGTAGCTGGTAGGATCAACGACCTGAACATTGAAATGCTCCTCGATACCGGGCTACGGTAACGATGCTAGGATGGGACATCCTCGCCGAAGAAGAAATGAGTCACATCAAACGCGGAAAAACGATGGACAGGAGGATTGTATGAGAGATCGCGCTGGAATTGGACTGCACACAAATAGTCGATCTGAACGCAGTCGGCATGAAATGCCGACGAGCGATCCCCGTCGCGCTTCAACATAATTCACAAATGTGTGCTTGGCGGAATGGACACACTGAGTCAACCGAAAATACGATCGATCGTGATCAGAACACTGTAGCGTTCAAGAAGATAGCTAATGCATCTTTGGAATATAGCGACCTGATGAAGAAGACGAATGGCATCGGTGTCCTCGGTCAGGGTCAACGAAGCAATGACGATGCCGGCAAATCATGTTTGTTCGACCCCATCTGAAATGGCTGATCCTCATTCGTATGGAAACAAAACAGGCTTATTCGATCTTAATCGAAAAGCACGGTTCGACACAGTCTGTTGTAACAACGGTCTGACGCTGCCAGAACAAAGGATTGTCCCAGCCCAGATCCTGAATGTTTGTTTGGCATCAATAACCCTTCGCGCGTAAACGACGCTGGGCAACATAATGCTGCGGATAATCCAGTGCAGCAGTGTAACACGGGGTCATCAGATGATTCATCACCCCCTAAGTCGATCCGCCAAGTTCAACACCGGATCACGTTCCATCACAGAGACGAGACAAGGAACCTGATTGAAAGAACGTTGAAGAATTCGATAATTGAGCCGTCGAACAGCCCGTCAGCTTCGTCTGCGGTGCTCATGTAGAAAAGGGACGGCAACGTAAGATTCTGCGTCGATTGTCACAAATCCCGAACGAGGTTACGTGGAGGGATTCGTACTCAATCGGGAGAGTTTACGACACCCTGTACATGTCGAAAAATGCGTATGATTTTCAACTATAGCCTCGCATCCGGGTACTGACAAATCGAGGTCTACGAATGAGGCAAGGAGAGCACTGAGGTCACAACCTCCTTTTGGATTGTATCAATTCTGAGTCATATCATTTGGGTTGTTCATTGCACCTGGAACGTTCCAGCGACGGGTGGAGTACGTACCGACAGGCCTGCACCAGAACTCTTGCCTCATCTAGCTGGACGACATCTTCGTATTCAGTAAGGCGCATGAAGAATGCATAATCAGATCAAAAGAATTATTTTTCAGGATGAGGGACGAAGGTCTTAAAAGACTCGCCTGAAAGGCGATAGACTGCCTGGGCTACGTGATATTTCCAGAGGGAATAACAGCCGACTCAAAGAAAGTCAGTGTCGTCACTTCCTGGCCTACGCCATCGAATGCCAAGGAACTAAATCAGTGTCTAGGGTCGCCTTACTTAACAAAAAAATTCAGAATTGTGCGACTATCGCTGCTCCATTGCCCCGTTTGATGAATATAGTCCAAAGTTTGAGGTGGACAACGGAATGCAATGTCGAGTTTGCCTACTGTAAAGAACACTGGTGAGTACGCCGGCAGCAGTCCATGAACCATCTGTCCATTAAAAAGCAATTCTTTCTGGACATAGATGCAACTGGCGACAGTGGTCTAGGCGCAGCATCTTCACAATGCGTCGGCGATGAGGAACCCGTCATCGTTTACACAGGGGTAGAACCCTGGCCAAGGTCGAGAAACACTACTGTGCAGCAAAAAGAAAATGTTGTCGCTTCTCTGGGGAGCACGACAGTTCCGATGTCACCTGCTCAGGCGGCAGTTTTTTTTGGTTCGAACTGACCACTGTCGTCTCCGTTGATTAAGCTTGTTGCAAGAACCGG